CGTGACATCCTAATCAGTTGGCATCGAGAAGACTTTCTAAGAAATGTAAGGAAGACGACCCCGTCTAGGGTGTCCTTGTTTTGCAGCTTAGTGGAACATTATTCCACTATAGTTTATGGCGCAGCATAGGAAAGATGTTCCTTGGCCACAATCTTGATAAAGTCTTATGGAATTGACTCGGTGGTGTGGGTGAAGATAAATGTACCCGATGTGTAGGCGAAACCTTCAGTATTCGACCTTTCATGTGATTTCAGCAACTCCAAAACAATTCGAAGCACCATTTTCGCAATTTCAAGAAGAAAGAGTGCAGGTGTCACCTTGCTAACCCAGCCTCTAGTAACTGAGCATTTGATCTCCAGTGAACAACGAACTAAAGGGGAAATGTACGCTTTTATAGCGAAGTAACTCTTTTGAGTGGTGCGCTGAGGTAGCCGACGGCATTGACTGGCAACATGTAGCTTTCTAGAGGGGACGACGACATAGTTGCCAATACTTGTTTGAGCAGAGATGACAGTGATAAAATTCGTCAATATATTCGCACTGCTACACAGCTACGCAGTTGATGTATTATGTATGTCGGCGCTAATATTCGTGTTGATGACAGGGAGCAGTTCAACGCTCAAAAAACACAGTGGGCCCCATCTTTTCGGGTCTGAAGGAAAATATGCACCGAAATGGGTCACTCAGATATCGCGCTCCAATCGAATGCTCCCTTCAATCGAGACGTCATGTATTAACACGTTGCGGACCAAATGCATGAAATGCCATGCACCAATCGCCGTGCCGCTTGCCGCGCAATTAACATTGGCGCACGCAGCAATGGAAATAAGAATTCAATTATTAAGTTGAGGTTTCAAAAGAACAATTTCATCATTAAATAACAGAACATTACAGAAGAGCTTCCATGAAGGTTCTTCAGTAAAGGTAACACACATGTGTCTTGAAATTTCACTGTTTAATAGAAAAACCACATTAAACACATTTTCAACCGTTATACAACATTGTTTTGTTACTTAATCTATGATTTTGCAGTCACTCAACAGCTTAATAGATACAGAGTTTGATGATATGCTAAGCTACCGGACAGACCTTCGAACTACGTTCTACTAATGGAAAAGAGAATACCTTTTTCATTCAGAATAGCTAACATCGAATGCAGTGTGCAGCACCATTATATCGTAATATCTAGTGCTTTGCGATTTTGAATCAATGACTTTTGGTAAATCACGAAATGATGGTACATCAAAAATGGAAGACTCATATCGCAATTCTTGATTCTAAAAGTACAAAATAAAGTGTAATTGACAATTTCACTTATTCATTGTAGCAATAAAAGAAAAGAATTTTCCTTAACATAGAAGATGAATGATGATTGATCGGAAAACGAGCTAATAAAAATAAGTCAGCAAAAGAATGTTATTTAATAGTTCGTAGCATGACCTTTTTGTAAGCATCTGGTTTTCACCCTCAAGAATGCAACGTTTCAGAGGAAAACAGCATCCGCGTGCCAAGAGAAATATCAATGCGGTCCCAACGCGTTGTCTCAAGTTGGTGTGTGGACAAGATGTCATTAAGATGCAGCTATTAGTAGGAATAGATAAAGAAATTTTTTAATAAACAAACTAAAGTTCGTGTAAATAAAATAGGAAATGAACAAAATAAAGCAAATTAGTCTTTATCAACTTCGTGCTATTTGCTTAATCAGCAAAGAATATAAGATTGTTGGGTTCTTATTCATAAAGAGTGTTAGTGATCATCCGATAACTCAAATCTCTAGCTAGCGCTGTACGTGGTCGGTTTTTTTGAACAGACCGTTTTATAAATACAGTGAAACTGCAATGAACTGTTGTAGTAATGGATCGAACCAGTAACCTTCTTACAGATGGACGGGTGCCGAGTAACGGAGAGAAATGAGACATATCTTTCATTTCGAGTGTTTTCTTAAGACCACAGCTCAAATTTCAATATGCCTGATAATCATTATTTGAGCCACGCATGTCAGTGGTCTGTCAATGAGGGCTGACTTATAGAGCCCGATACACGTGTTTCGATCTTGCGATCTCGTCAGTCGGGCAGTTGCCCTTTCTCGTCTTTTGCTAATCTCTGTGGGTGCTCCAGTCCCCACAATAAGAGTTAGCGACGACGTACGTTTTACACTCTATGTCCAGTGAAGAACTCACCAAACACAGAGTGTTGTACACTCGAATGCTCGTGGCTAAGTATATTTAATATAACATATCTTTCTAGCCTTAAATATACTAGCCACGAGAATTCGAGTGTACAACACTCTGTGTTTGGTGAGTTCTTCACTGGACATAGAGTGTAAAAACGTACGTCGTCGCCTAACTCTTATTGTGGGGACTGGAGCACCCACAGAGATTAGCAAACGACGAGAAAGAGCAACTGCCCGACTGACCGACGGATCGCCAAGATCGAAACACGTGTATCCGGGCTCTATAAGTCAGCCCCTCATGACAGACACTGACATGCGTGTCTCAAATAATGATTATCAGGCATATAGAAATGAGACAGACAATGATTGCCAACTGAGGTTAGAGTTGCAGAGTCGTAAAGGAGGGAGCATGGAGCCGTGTTCATGCTGGCGATTGTAGCTCTTGCCAGTTAGACACGTCGTTTGGGTCCGTGAAAGTCAACCGGTTGAAGTCATATCTGCCCTTCACAGCGACGGTATATCAAGTCAGTGCTGCCTACCGATATATCAAGTCAGTGCTGCTGTCCTCCCAAACAAGTATGGTACCAACTCTCCTCGGACCCCGAAGGGGTAAAAGGCTTGGTAAGCCTTGACAGCGATATCGAAACATCAACCACGTGTATGTCGCAAAGCATCTCTAATCACTGCGCCGCATGCGCCTACTCCTACTCCTACAAGTGGTATTGACAAAAAAGGAAATTGCACCTTTTAGCACGGAATGGACCAAGAAGTTTGAGAAAATGTGCAATTATTATGATCTTAAAAACTCAGAAATGAAAAACATAGTTGATGAAATACTGCCAAATGAGCACACAACAGTGGAACGGTTTCAGAACAATCGTATAAAGGCCATATTCAGTATCAATAAGTGTAAATTTTTTAAAACACATCTCACGCACAGGAAAAAGAAGGTACTTATTTGTTAGGCGGCGATAATTGAATATTCGGCTTTATTCGCTGTAGAAGAATTTTTCATATAAGTGTTGATATCATTCGAAAGCTTGAATCTTCAATTACAGCCCTACGTGGCCGGTTTTTCAAAACACCCCTTTGTAGTGCCAAAAAATCCAAGATAATATCATGTTTCACACCCGGTGTGCGCCTTCATTTCTCTCACATATAATCCGCGGGAAGCACAAAAAGCTTTAGAGGAAATCTCTTAGTATCTGAGTCATCGTTTTTCAACAGAGTTTCTTCTAAAGCGGGGAAGAAACTTCCATTTGAAGATAAGTTGTAGCTCACATGTCTGACTTGTAGGGTCTTGGGTCGATCGCTCCGCCTCCAGTTTGTAAGTTAGCCGGTAAACAAGCTCGCCGAATATGTTAAGCTCAATCTTATTTCTCTTCTACACTACAGTGGAACGATCTTTCCAGAAAATAAGCATAGCATTGAAATCACTGAAAACTAGGCTATCGACAGAGTACTAATAGTCCGAAGAAAAAGCTCTGTCGGGCGCAATGCAGAGCACAAATACTTTCCTTCTCCTACAGCGCTATCAAAATAGCTTCTCCAAAAAGCAAGCAGATTTTTGAGTTCTTCGAGACTAATGCTATCGAAAGGGTATTAGCACTCTAAGGAAAGAAATCTGACCAACGAAATACAAGTGGGATAACGTAAAGAAAAACGTGTGATCGTGGGAAACAGGACATAATTTTATTTCGAATTTTACAGCGTTATGAAAGGGTGTCTTGGAAAACCGGCCACGTACCGCGCTGGTCAGATATTTAAGCTTTCGCATGATCACTAATGTTGTTGTGAAATGTTCTTGTCCAATGAATGGAGTCGAATATTGATTTGCTTCCGGATAACGGAAAAGAAGCAAATCTACAATCATTAGGATGTTAGAAATTCAGAAATGAAAGGCGTAGTCAATAGAACACTACGAAAAGAACACATATCAGTGGAACGGTTTCAGAACAATCGTACAAGGGCCGTATTCAATACCAATAAATGCAAATTCTATAGAATAGATGTGACGCACAGAAGAAAAAAGAATCGCTTAGAAATCACTTATGATTCAAAGCAATGGCATTTCTCAAACAGTTCGACATTTTAATGAATTCCAGTTCAAAAGCAGCAATCACGTTTCCTCAGCAGGAGCACAAAATAAGGATGAGATGTGCTTACAAATAATCCCACTAACCTAAAACTTTTTGATCTATCGCTTTTTCTACCAGTGATATGGTGTCACGATTGTATAAAGAAAAAAGGATAAAGCTCTCGGCGTTGATCAATTCCCGAGGTATGCGCCATGCATTCACCTAAATTTTTAGCTTCGTTTGAGGTGATTGAATGCATATCTGGCCTTTACAATGACTCGCGGTGGCCTCCCGCTGAACCGAGTCAGTGCTGCTTATCCTCCCAAACAAGTCTGAGATCATTCTGGTACCAATTTACATACCCCGAAGGGATGGATGGCTTGGTGAGCCATGAGCGCGAGATCGAACGATTGACCTCGTGTGCACGATTGTATATCCGATGAGTGATACGTGAAATGGGTGGAGGTGTGTGCGAGTGGTTGTGATGCTGGTGACGACTCTGCGCAGGGCTGATCCCCATGCCCCAACACTCTTCGCCAGTCGACAACGAAAGATCTATAGAGCGCCAGAGCCAGGCTATCCTCGAGATTATAAGACGTGCTCAACCAGTATTCTCCAAAGGTCAAGAAGAAGGCGAAAAAAAAAACGAATGAATGGTAGAAGTACTGGGGTCCGTATAGTGAAGAAAAAATCAACGAAACACATCAAATGAAATAAAGTGAAAATGAGAGACGTAGAACTTTGCTTCATGTCTCAGGCGAGAATTGAACCCGCGTCTTACCCTTTTCGAGGATGTGTGCTGAGCACTGCGCTACAGGTGCTCTTGTTCTGTAATCCATTCATTCTGTGATGCCCCAGAAAGGGTGAGCGGCGGCTTCAGCTCCCGCCTGAGGTCCAGAAGATGACCATAAAAAAGTGTAAAACTACAAGAACTCGATAGATTGCTTGAAATTAAATGTGTAATTTTGGGCGCCTTGCAGTTCTAACGAGAAACCAGCTATAGAGCGTCCCATCCCGCTACTCATATTACCAATTTCTAAGATGTGTAAGCGATTACGCTTAGGATTAATAACTTTTTTTCTAACCCTTCGTGAACTGTCGTCGATAGGAAGCGGCCTTGGATAGTGCCTGCAAGATGGTGCCCGCCCGCTTTGCTTCGAGACGCGACGTCGCCATTACAGTAGCCGAATGAGACGCGACATCGCGCGGCGTGCTACGTTTCGGCATATGGTCCCCAAAAGGTAGAATCTATGGGAATAAGATTCTATAAACACACTGATGATTTCGAAGTATCGTACCGTAAGTTTACGCGAACTGTGTCCATATCTGATCATAATTTTACCACATATACGACTTACTCTCTACGCTCAGATGTATCGAAGAATTAATCTTACTGATACTGGTAGAGAAGTAAGGAAGGCTTTATTGACCAGAACAAAACGTGCGTACACTTACCCATACAATATTCATCATAAAATTAGAACAATTTCAACAAGAAATGAGATAATAAATAACATCCAACACATACAAGAGAAAATAGTACAACCAGTTCCCAAACACTTTAACAAAAAGTACGCCTCTCAGTTAGCCTTCAAGGATTTTAAAGTTTTGATAACAAAATTCAACTGAACGTGTCAACCGCTGAAGAATTGCACGTTTCCACAGATAGAGAATAGGACAATCTCTTCTAATATCACAGAAAAACGATTAAAGAGAGGCAAGCACCGACTCGGAACGAGCACGTGCTTCCGTCACTTTCTGAATGAACTGCGTGTCTTCGGTGCTTGCAGATTTCTGTTGACTCTTCTGTACACTGCCAATGTATCCGTCCAGCGCATCCACGATTGCCTTCTCGTATTTCAATAGTTCTTGAGCCTAAACGTATGAAAAACTTTGCATGGTGGAAGTCAAAGACACTGTTCATATATAGCAAATAAAACTGTAAAAGGATAAAGGTTGAAAGATAAAGCTCTCAGTGTGATTGATTCCTGAGGAATGCGCCGTGCAATAGTCTTCAATTTTTGGCTTCGCTTGAGGTGAGAATGCATATTTGGCCCTTACAAGGATTCGCGGTCGCCTACCGATGTATCAAATCACTGCTGCTATCCTACTAGACAGATGTGGTCACAATTCACCAACACCCGTAGGATGGAAGGCCTGATAAGCCTCAAGCGTGGGATCGAACCATCGGCTATGACATAACTGGCCACGTTTTTGTCGCAGACCACCTCTGATTGCTGCGCCACATGCGTTCTAATAACACTGTAGCGAAGAACTCAGCTCATAGTTAACGTTATAGACTGGAGTAAGACATAGAAATTTGGATCTGTCTCTTTCATGGGAGAGTTTTATTTTCGAGCAGTGAAACGACTGAACAAACGAAATTTCATCTAACAGGTTGAGATATGTCCGCGATTCTATGACTGATATCTCAATCTCCGAATTCATGTCCGAAATTTTTCCCAGTTTCCTTTAGAAATATCTTTCCATTTGAGCGTTTTTGAGACCTCGCCTGTAATTCAGTGTAATCTGAGAGCATATTTGACACTTTTCTTTGCAACCTTTTAAGGATCTAAATTTCGAAAAAGCATGAGGAGAAATGATGCTGAAGAAGGATGATGTACGTACAGAGAAAGGCCCATATCCAATTATGCAAGGTTACCATGCCTTCAACTCCTCAAATGCCTCAGTTATCCCTTTGGGGACAACGTGCTACGAAACGTAGCACGTGACGCGACGTCGCACCTCACTCAGCTACTGTTATGGCGCTGTCACTTTTATAAGCTAGACAAGCAGACACAATTGTAGGTCGACCGCACTGACTGCAGCGCAAGCGATAAGCGCGATGCTGTTTGCTATCAGCAGCGGTCCCCAAAAGGTTATAAAAAAGCTACTGTCAGTTACTGTAACTCTCAACATGCCATGAACATTTGTATTGAGAGAGACAACTTGAGCTTTGCCTTCGTTAATTAGTTGAAAATAATATAAATACTGCTGGAAAACTCGAATATGCAATGATATCACTAACAACTTAATCTTAAACTTAAATCTTTACTATGGAAAATAGAGACCTTATCAAACGTTTTTTGACAGTCCTCTTTGAGAGTCTCGATAGCACTCGTTAATTTCTTGTTGATATCAGCTCTATCTGCCTCCAATCTCTTCTTTCCATTCTAAACAAGAAACCTTCCTGTTGTATAATTCTATATGCAAATTTACACTACCTCTAGTTCAGACACGTCTCGTGTGGATTTATATTGAGAGACAGCATCAAGAAACTGTGAAAACACACGATTCTTCTTATCAACGAGGTGAGCCAATGACGATATTTTTCCTTGAATACGTTCACGAGTTTCACGAACGGGATCCTAAATGCCTATATGACACGTTGAAACAAAAAGTGAAGTCACCATGACTCAGGCATGAAATATTGCAACAGAAACACATAGATGTGGGTCGATTCAAAAAAAAAAAAGCCGCTTTCGATAGTATAAATTGCACAGACTACTTGCTGCACTAGCGGTTCAGAGAGAGGGGGAGAGTGGTTAGTGATGCAAGCTATCACGAACCAAGGCGTTGGTTCGACCCCTCATTCGACAGATTGCAAGGTTAAAATTGGCAAGTATTCCACGACATTCATCAGGAAAACGAAGACCTCATGCAGTTGTCAATCAAACAATTATTAAAAGTCCAACGCAAAAGCTGTACCCAGTGAAAAAGGCCTATATACAATCGTGGAGCAAAAACGATATACCCCGTCCCGATTGGATTAATTGGTCATTCAAATAGTCAAGAGCTTTCCCAACGACTCGAAAAATACTTGTTGGGAAAAAATTTCAAGAACCAATAAGATCTGGTTCATATGCTAACAGAATGGATATACTTGCAACATGTCATTAAAAATGTGTGGACGCCAACTTTCAATAAACAATTTTCAGTCGAATTATGACTTTTGGAACGTCCGCTCCTAAACGACGAGTTTTCTCTGACATTTATAACGAATGTGAAAAAAGAATGTTAGTACTACCGCTTTCATATCCTTGCTAGGAAAATCGATTGAAGCAATAAAATACGCCTCGATAAGTAAAAGTTGATGAACAAAATGAACTCACCACAACAATTGTAAAGTCGAATCGCATATAAATAATCACAGCAAGGAAAAGAGCAAAGAAGAATGCTGTCGCGATTATTGGCTCGCGGATCATATTAGCATAATCGAATTCATAGAACAGCTGAAATAAAATGCCTGAATGTTCCTACTTTGGGATTATGTATAACTCCAAACATTGTGCTGGAGCCGAAACTGCGCCTTACCCTATCCGGGAATGTATGCTAACCGTTGAACTACTGGAGCTCCTATTCTACTCACTCTTTCTGCGTAACAAACTGTTGACGGTTGATTGGACAGAATGAATAACTTGCCCTGCAGAGAGAGTGATAGCAGAAAAGGAGCTTTGACAGCGCAGTGGCTAGCAGCCGCCTCGGAAAAAAAATAGACGCTGGTCCGACTCCTGGCCGAGATTCAAGGTTTTTCACATAACTTAACATTATCAGAAAGATACTTTCAACACATATCACTTCTAAAAAGCAATTAATTAAAGATTCTTGTTGACTAAAAAACTCTGGAAATTGCCAAACAAGGTAAACAAGATTGAAAAATTACTGTAAACTGCTGTATATGCTCTGGAACAAGGTTCTCCTTCTGCAGAACAATCACAGTCCGGCCAGTGGTGTCCAAATAAGTCGAATGAAATTCGTCTGGACGACGAGTCATAGCGTACGGTGTAGTGAGCCTTACCTTCCTTAACAAGAGCAATTTTCTTACAAGAGCTTGAAATGAACGCCAATACCCTACTGGGCTATGAAGTATAGCGATCAACAAACGATTTAACGAAGTACGATTTGAATAAAAAGAACAAAAAGAAAAATGACAGGACGCACTTCACCAATTCCGGGAGTACTATCTTGATGGTTAGATTCTCCACTACCACATTGTCGAAAATATGATCGAGAACCCTCATTTTCAACGCATAGTCATTTCCTTTATTATAGAGATATTCGAAAGACGGAACATTGTAGCCAATGATATACGAAGTTCGCCATCCTCCAAACAATGGGAACCTGACATTGTAGATCAATTGAACGCTGCTAAATGATGAGGCAAAAATCGTCTATCGCAGTGCGTTTTCAAGACTTTTGGAGCGGCTCTTCGTTTTTTTTTTTTCAAATCTTTGGTAATCATTCGATTGCTTGAATCTTGGCGATTCCAATATAATGCTTGTTTGTTGGAAAGACCTTCCAGAAAAGGATGTAGCAACAAAAATAAGATTGAGTTCCACACTTGAGGCACAATTTTTGCTCAATTAGGGTAAGTGAATAGCTGTGCTGATGGGATATCGCAATACTTGCGGCAAACGGTACCGAGGCCCTTGCTCAGTCTGGGTTTGTCGGTGGTCTTTTAACATTTTTGGTAATTATTCAAGAGCATAAACTTGAATGATTCTGAAACAGAATCTGGTTTTTCGGAGGATCTTCACAGGGCGCTGGAAGAATGAAAAAATTACGTTTCGCTCGCTTTGGCTCAGACTACTTGGGTCTGGGCTTAATAGCACTTTTACTTTGAGAATATGAAATGGAAATAAAACCCCTGAACCCTTGAAACGATAGAACAAAGTTTCTTCTACAATTCTACCACATAACGTCTAGGAATTCCCATGAAGCGGTGGAGAAATTCTCAATGAGATAACGAAAATAAGCGTGATAATGAGCACTAAGTGGAAATGAATTTTACTATCGAGTTAACAAGGCTTTTTCGAAAACA